AAAAAAAAAAAAAAAAAAAAAAAAAAAAAAAAACAATGAAATGCAGAACCCAAGACGGCTGCACTCTTGCTGAGACATACTGGTCATCATTGCCTCCGAGCCCACTTTTGCCCGAAGCTCTGTGTCAGAAATGCTGTTCCTTTGGGAACCACAGCCAAAGAAGAGATGGATCAGTTCTGAAATAAGAACACAGGCTCAAACCATCCCGTTTGAACACATCACTATCTACAGTTGGTCTCTTCCCATGGTAATGTCCATCTGTCACCGTGGCACTGGCATTGCTTTGAGTGCAGGGGTCTCTCTTTTTGGCACATCGGCCCTGTTACTCCCTGGGAACTTTGCGTCTTATATGGAACTCATGACGTCCCTGCGTCTGAGGCCAGCACTGATCCACGCAGCTAAGTTTGCACTTGTCTTCCCTCTCATGTATCATACCTGGAATGGGATCTGCCACTTGATTTGGGAACTAGGAAAAGGCATGAAGATTCCCCAGCTATACCAGTCTGGAGTGGTTGTTCTGGTTCTTACTGTGTTGTCCTCTATAGGGCTGGCAGCCATGTGAAGAACAGAGGTTCCCAGGATCATCTTCCTGTACATTATTACATTCACCCATCTTTCTGTTTGTCACTTTTATCTCCAGCCTAGGAAAAGTTCTCCTTATTTGCTTAGATCCTTTTGCGCTTTCAGATCCCCTTGGAGCAGTAGAGTACCTTGTAGACCATAATAGTGGAAAAGGGTGTAGTTTTCCCCTTGTTTTTAAAGATGGGGTGGCTGCAAAAACTCCCCTTTTTTGCCCACAGCTTACCTACTCTGGGCCTGGAAGCAGTTATTCCCTTACCATATTGGGCTTTGATTTCTGCTGAGGGTCAGCTTTTGGCTCCTTCTTCCTGACAGTGGAAACAATGCTAACTCTGTGGCTTCTGCCCTGGGGACGGGGGGTGCCACTCTCTGTGTGTTGCTGGCTTAAACAACAATTTTGTTCGCTGGTGAGAGCCCAGGCCATTAACACCTATGTAGTGTTATTGAAAGAATAGAGGTGAGGGTGGAAAGGAATTAGTCTACGCCAGCTAGAGGGAGATAAAGAGGACTAGTTAGTTCTTGGAGCAGCTGCTTTGAGGAGAAACTATACAGCTTTTGACACAAGAGGAAGGTCCAGAAAATTATCATTGAACATATTAAAGGTTATTTCTTTCTCTTGCATTTCCAGAAAAGCCTCTTAATTTTATGCTTTCTTATCCAAGTCATGTACCATTTTTTTTCTGAAACTGAATTAAAATATTCTTAAAAAAAAAAACAAACTAAATGCAAGTTGTTATATCTCCTGACTTTGAGTGGATTGTGAATTTTAAAAAATGCTCTAAAGGACATTATTGAAACAGTTTGGATATTTCTTGTTCTCAGGAGAAATGTACTAAAGTATTTAGGAATGAGAGGTCTACGACTTGGGTTTTTTTTTGTTTTTCGTTTTTTTTTTTTGAGACAGAGTCTCACTCTATTGCCCAGGTTGGAGTGCAGTGGTGCAATCTTGGCTCACTGTAACCTCCGCCTCCCCAGTTCAAGTGATTCTCCTGCCTCAGCCTCCTGAGTAGCTGGGATTATAGGCAAGTACCACCACATCTGGCTAATTTTTGTATTTTTAGTAGAGACAAGGTTTCACCATGTTGGCCAAGCTGGTCTGAAATGCCTAACCTCAGGTGATCCACCCGCCTCAGCCTCCCAAAGTGCTGGGATTACAGGTGTGAGCCACTGTGCCCGGCCTACACTTACCTTAAATGGGCTATTGGGGAAATATAGAGAGAGACAGAGATAGAGAGAGAGAACATGCACGCACAAATGTGACAAAATGCTAATAACTGGTGAATCTAGAAGAAAGCTATATAGGTCCCACTGTATTATCCTCAGAGCTTTTTTTTTGTAGGTTTGACATTTTTCAAAATAAAAATTTGTGGGAAAAAAAAAAACCCTACAAGGTCTCCCATTCTAGAAAGAGGGATATGCGCGTGCGCGCGTGTGTGTGTTTAAAAAAGAAACACCAGTTCTTCAAATCAGCTAATACTATCAGTGATGTATATGTTTCAAGTACCGACTAAAAATGGAAAAAAAATTCCGCTTGTGGAGCTGTGCCCTGAACCACTTCAGCTTTCATAAAATGGCAAACCAAAGAATGGCTAGTTTCAGACTGACACCAACCCTAGAAGGAAAGGTCCATGGCCTGGGCAGATGGGCAGCTCTCTCCTCTCACAAAATCAGGCTTCCTATTACCAGTGACCTTCCTAGAGAGACCTAAAGGGCACTGCTCTAGCCAGAGCTGCCCAAGTTTAGACTTTCTTTGGCACAGGCAGTCTGTTCTAAACACTCTCTGACCTTGGCTTTCAGGTCAGAGGACTTACCTGGTTTGCCTCAGGAGACTTTTTTTAGACTCAATTCAAGAATACCAAAAAGATTTAAGAGGTGCCAGGTATGATGCTAAGTACTGTTGTTACGAAAATGAATAAGCCACAGAAGAACCCTGACCCAGAAAAAGTCAGACTGTAAATAAATAACCAATAAGTAACATTAAAAGTGGTACGTTGGGGTTATGTCCTGCAGGACACTGGCGAGAAAAAAAATGGAGGAGATCTGCCCAAACATCAGGGAAAACCATAGAGCAAAGGCCATATCTGAGCCAGAGGCTGATTACTTTTCCAGAAAGTAAGTGCATTCCAAGTTCAGGAAGGTGCACAGGCCAAGGCATGGAAAGGCCAAAGGGTCAGCTCACTTGGAGAACAGCGAGCACAGTTCATTAGTTAGAGGATTGAGAGTGGTGGGTGGGAAGAGTTGAAGCAGCTCATCAATCCCTGCCTGCAGCTAGAGAGCACTGTAGGTTTCTGAACTGGATCTCTTATTCATTTTCCTCTTGAATGAGGATATCTCATCTCCAAGATTCACTCAACATTTATTATGTAACCTGCACACTGCAAGGGAATACTATTATGAGCAAATTCTTGTTCTTAAGGAATTTATATACTGGCACTAGAAGATCATAAGGAATAAACACAGAGAACTCTTAACTTAGGAACAATGCATTAAGGATCCTAAGAAGTATTTTTGTAAACATATTTTTTAAAGTTGGACAGCACAGAAAGAAGTAAGATCACTTTCAGAGAAGACATGAATAGAGAAATAAGGAAAGGCTTTCTGCAGGTGGCGACACAGGGGCCAGACCTTGATGGTATGACATAGGTGAAAACACTGAAGACACGGAGGAAACATTCCAAGGGAAACAACTAACCTAAGTTAAAATGTAGAGGTTGGCCAGGTGCAGTGGCTCACACCTGTAATCCCAGCACTTTAGGAGGCTGAGGTGGGCGGATCACAAGGTCAGGAGTTCGAGACCAGCCTGACTAACATGGTGAAACCCCTTATCTACTAAAAATACAAAAACCAGCCAGGCGTGGTGACGGGTGTCTATAATCCCAGCTACTCGGGAAGCTGAGGCAGGAGAATCGCTTGAATCCGGGAGGCAGAAGTTGCAGTGAGCTGAGACAATGCCACTGTACTCCAGCCTGGGTGACAGAGTAAGACTCTGTCTCAAAAAAAAAAAAAAAAAAATGTAGAGGTAACCCTGCAGATAGATACAGCCTAAGTGCATGGATTCCTAAACATTCCCCTTAGATTCAGAACTAAACATGTTTCTTTTCTCTTTTTCTTTTTCTTTTTTTTTTTTTTTGATGTCACCACATCGATCCTAAACATGTTTCTTTAACAATATTTACTGTGTGGGACTAAGACTTGATTCTAGCCTGTTTTGTGTTTTCTATGACACTAGTAACTTTTTTGTGGGTTTCTTGCTGGGCGGCAGGGATGGGAATAGTTGGGAATGGGCAAAAAAATAAGCTAGCAGAGTAGAACCACCCCAGAGTTGAAAATTGGTAATCTTCCTGTGTTCTTAGTAAAGTCTTGCAGTCCAGGGCAGTGACCTGGGTTATTTGGACTTAAAATCTGCTTACGTAATCACACGTTCTCTATATAAAGAGGTCCTTGTGAAGTCTGCCAATCTGTCAGTTCTAGTCACAGTCAGTTTAAACAAGCACCTGACCAAGGAAACAGAGACCAGACTGGGGGTATGGGAGAGAACTGGTCAAACTAGTTGGGTAATTTTATTATTGAGCATGACATTTCCATCACAGTCAAGGACACTAAGATTATTTAACACCTAATAAGCCTAAGTATTGTGTTGGTGCTTATATACACTGGCCTCACATAATCCTCTAAACAACCCAACAAGTAGTATTAACTCAGATAAGTAAACTGAGGCTTAAAGGTTAAATTACTTGCTCAATGTCATATAGCTAGTCAATGATGGTGCCCACACCTGAGTCCACAAACCTAGCTTTCGCCCCACTATTTGTGGCTCTCCCTCAGTCAGCAAACAACTGGGGAACTCTGTTTCAATCCAGGTGATGCTCTCCTATAGACAGATGAAGCTTTAGTCTGGCCTTGTGCACATACTGCCTGAGCTTTGATAGTCTAATTTCTTCTCCTCCCTAGACTTTAACATTCCTCTGATCAGTTCTTAATGAAACATCTTAATGATGTTTCCAGTGAGTTTTTTCTGCGCCACCCTTCTCAAGACTAAAGTGGATCCACTGTCCTTTGAAAAACAACCCAGGTCTCTGGACTCAGTTTTCAAAAAATTTCAGGAGACCCTCCCAGCTGGCTTCTCATTCTTAACTCTTCAATTAACATATCCTCTCTTGGTCTCACCTGGTCATAGCCTTAGCCCTATCTAACTACTGTCAGCAAGTCCCAGCCCAAGCTATATCCTCTTCTAAAACATCCTCTCTGTCTCAGTCTGCCAGATTTGCACCTTCCATTTCAGTTCCTAACGTCTATTTTTTCCTCGAAAAGTTCTCATCAGGAGGAGTTATGGCTTCTCTGAACTAAATAAGCAACTCCCCCATCCCATCACCTCTGCCTGGGCATAGCACAGTGTGTACTGATGTGACCTTGAACAAGATGTTTCTGTTATTTATGTGGCTGCTCAAGCTTTGTCCTGTGGCCTATATATTCTTAATGACTTCCTTCTGTACAGTCCCTCAAACTATAAATGCTTTGAAAGCAAAGTCTAACTTTATAGTTCATCTTCAATACAATGCTGAAGAGAAAAGCATTTATAAACGTGTAAAGTGAGAGTGTGCTAAGCTTTTAAAAGCAAAGATAGATGAACTCCATCTGTCAAAACGGCATAGAACAAAACAAAAAGCCCACACTTGCTATCACACAATACAGTTTCCATGGTTTTATAAGAAAATCCTTCCTGGGTATGACAACCACAATCAAGTAAAATATTAAAATATAGGATTCATAAATCACCAAACAGAGTGAGCACTATAAGCCAGGACCTGATTTTTTTTTTTTTTTAAGAAGGCAGAATGTTACTCAAAAGATAAAAAACTTACCTGAATTGAACCTTAGAAATTAATTTTATAATTATAAAAAAGAAAAAGAAAAAAGATGACAAACAGCAAAAGGTTAAATACAGGCTAAAACCCTTGGCTTCTCAACTTGATCAGTTTACGTAACTCAGAAGGTGGAAAAACTTGGAATCGGGCCTAAAACAACACTGACTTATTTCCATTCAAGTTATGCTACAAGGGAAAAAATGTGAAATTTGAAAGCTTTCCTTTTCAAAGCCAGATTTAGACAAGTTGAAGGAAAAAGAAATAAATGCTACTCTGCAGCCCACTGCAGCTCCACAATGGCCTGTTTTTGCCCATTCAAAGTAGATTCCTCTTCCTTGTTCCTCAAACATTTTCTCCTT